AATTTTTTAAGCTTTACATCATACTATTCTACTGTTATAACTATATCAGTTATGAATTATACTCTAACAGACACAATCAATATACACAGAATACATCAAACGTAGTTTATAATACATTGTACATACGAGGAGCCTTTCTCGCTCTCAGAGCATTATCAGTCTGATAGTCACTCTCTCTATCTCTGAGAACTACTCATCCTATCGACCGTTCTTTAATTTAAATTTATTCTAAATTTATTATTAAACAGTTTCTATCTATCTATATCTGCTAATTTCGATACATCCTCTATTCTCCCCCTCCTAAGCATGGCTCGTGCTATCTCTCACGTGTTATAATACCCTACTCCCGACGTCCGCCTCGCCGAGGAGTTTCGCCGCGAGTTCATGGACGCCATGGCCCAGCGCCGCCGGCAGAACGCCCAGCAGCAGCAGCAGCGCAAAAAGGCCCCCGCCGACGGCAAGGCCGACGAGGACGTCCTGCGCGGGCCCAAGCTCGGCGGCAGCCGCAGCGCCCGCGCCGCCATGCGCGATCTGCTGCTGGCCGAGGAGAAGAAGAAGCAGCAGGGCAGGCGATGAAGACCGCTTGCTTTTTCTTTCGTCATGAGTCTCAACGAGATAGGAGTTTGTATGGTTACATGTAGTCAATGATACCCATCCTTGGACGGCACAGGAAGCCTTTTTGCCTTTGCTCCGTGACTTTGTGAGGTGACACTTCAGCCGCCTGTTTCTCCGTTACCTGTATACCATACCACAGGATCACGAGTAATGCACTCGAGTCTAGTAAAGCCCGTCTGGGCGGTCAATTCTGAAGCTGGAATCTATCCATGCTGTAAATAGTGCGGGTGAGCATAGCCATGCCTCACCCCGTCCCAAACATAAAACACATCACTCATGTCGAAAGAAAAAAAAAGCAACCTCAAAAGACGATAGCCACCCATTGCAAAAGATAGACACCCTGTAGTACCCTTCCGAAACCCAATTGCACCTGTGAAACCAGTATACCCGTTGCCACGAGCAGTGTTTGCCGAACCCTAATAGTCGAGAAACGAATGATATGAATGTGAAGAAGGAAAATCTGCCGGCGCTCAGTTATGGTGAAAGACCAACAGCTGAGGGACGCCGGCCTTATGCAGGAGCGTGTGTGAAGAGTTCGTGTCGTGTGAAATCATAGTTTCTCCGCCGTTGATGCTAGTAGTTTCCAGACGCCCACGATATACTAAAGTAGCCCTGGTATAGGAGAGATGCCCGTCTTCACCTAATGTCCAGCTGGAATGGCTTGAATTTGCCCCCTATCGTAGCACAACGGGGGCACTTCCTTCGAGCTCCCTGTTCTGCCATGAGGACGTCGACGCAAGCTTGACAGAGGCCGCAGATGCACTCGGTGCACGCGTACGACTCTTTCAGCCTTGAAACGCTCTGGCAGGCAGCGCAGTAGATCTGGGTATTCTGGGAGGAATATGTCGGGGACGAATCAGAAAGCCCGCGTGACTCAATGTGGAAATTCTCCCCGCTTTCACCACTTTCAACCGAAGGAAAGGGGTCAATGGTGTCCTGGCTGTAGGATGGCGGGGTAAGGGCTTGCTGCAGCGGGGACGCCTGATAGCTGTTCCCACCGTGGAAATTGTGTTGTTGGAATGGTGGCATGGAAGCCCGCGGGATGGAGACGGGTGATTGCGGGACCTGATAGCTCATCAGCCGATCTAGACTCGCATCAGACTGGAGTTGACGTACTGGTGTGCGGTCCTCATCGATGTCGCCTGCAGCGGAAGCAGCTTGGTCGGCGGCGTCGATGAGATCCTCCCAGCGCTTTCCATAATCGGCCGAAGGCTCAGCAGAAAGTGCTTTGCGGTTGTTTGGCCCCAGTCGGTCATCATTCTGGATTCGACGGAGCCAGTCGTTGGCAGATCCTCGCGACTTTTGTTTCTTGTGGTACCCCTCTCGACCCCGCTTTGTGACGGATTGCTTCCTCGGGCGGCTTGGGCCAGCTGATCGTTGGATTGGAGGCAGCGTTGACGAGCGACCGGGGGGCGAGTTTGCTAGTATAGAAGGGAGTATATCGCGCGGCCTGCTGGAATTCATGGCGGGGAAAGGCTCGCTGGTGATGTCGTGAGGGGGCAAATGGATCGGGGGAAGCTCGATGGACGTTCGAGGCGGACGGCGCCCTTCGGTGTCCGAGTGCCAATCCTGCAGTGACGGCGATGAGTACGGGTCAAGCACGGAGGATGAAGAAAACTCACAATCTCAGACTCCCATTCGGGCTCAATCTTGTGCCCATGTAGCTGCGCCAGGGCCGCCGCTGCGCTCGCGGCAGGCAGCAGCGAGCCCGGCGTCCCGTATTCATCGTGGTTCACGTTCCGCGGGGTGCCCGGACTGCTCGAATCGTAGGCATGGCGATCGTGGAGGAAGCCTTGAAAACGGTCAATCAGGGGGGAAAACCCTTGACTTGATGGGAACGCACCCGCAGGAGCTGAAGTTGCGCTGGGCTGGGGCTGCTGCTGGACACGGGTGGACGGATCGGTGCTGATCATGAGTAGGAAGCTCTCTTCGGTGGCAGGGAGCTTCTGAATGTAGTGCTCGGGATGCGCACGTCGGATGTGCTCTTGCATCGAGCGATATCTCTTTTCCTACAAGAACAAAAGTCGGTTGTCAGCATACACTGCAATGTAGAACATCGCAGAAACGACTTCTGCACTTATAGCATCCTGGCCCAGTTCGCACGCCGGGTAGCGACAGTTGGGGTTCGAGCGAAGTCGTGCCGCAGTGGATTGATGGGAGAGGCTTCGGGGTGCAGGTCGGCGGGACACTCACTCCGATACAGCGTTTCCTACAGCTAGAGCCATCTTGGTTTCTTAGAGGGCAGACAACCTCATTGTTGGAATCGGCAATCGAGAACTGCGAAGTCAGAGAAGAATCTGGGCGGTTTTTTTGACCCCACCA